ACCACTATATACCATAGCACCTCCCAGTCATGACAATCAGGTATCTCTAGATATTGCCAAACATTCCCTGAGAGGCAAAAATCACCTATTGTTAAGAACCACTGAATAAACACACACAGACACAAATGTATCTATTTTGTATGTGTATATTTCATTTCTGCCTAAAATGTAGAAAGCTAGAATGTGTCAATCCCAGCCTAAGATCAAGAAAAAGCAGATAAATGACAAGAATACAGCTTTTCTAAGACTAATTAGAGAACTGAGGTCAAAGCAAAACCAGGTAGCCCTACATCCAAGGAAAGACAGGAACTTCTAAAGAGATACAGGGTATGAACATTTGCTCCCCCTGGGGCAGAGTATAAGAAAAGAAATGCTAGGTACCATACAAGCTGATATTAGGAATTGTGTTCAAATTTTTCTTTTTTTGTTGGTTTGTTTTGGGGAGGGGGGGGTTTCATTGAGATTAAGTACCTATTTTATTAGTTGATGCATGTGGGGATTGTAGTTTAAATATTTTAAGTCAAAATATGTAAATGTATGTTCATTCATGCACATTTCAAAAATGTAAAAGAATATTTTTGTCTTTGAGTATGGGTCTACTTGTGGGAATTCCATGTTATCTTCATTTTATAAAGCAAACCCATAATATTAATACTTAATCTGTATTTTCCACTTTGGACTTCTTTAAAATGTAATGAAAAAATTTAAGACTTTTGCAAAACAATCTAGATCTCCAGATGTTTTTCCTCAAGTTTTTTGCAGTTGCACTGTTAATAACTGATTTAAGAGCAGTATTCACTAAGTCTTTCCAGAGTGTTCAATTTGATTTTCATGGAAGCAATAGCCCTCTTTCTTTTTGCACTCATATATTACTGATTTTTGCAATTACAATTACAGATAAAAAAAACTACCATAAACTAGTTTGGGAAGAAACAGTCTACTAAAATGAGAACTTTATGAAACTACCAATTTAATTGTTCATTGCTGTATATATTATATAGTTTGTACTCTTTTTTGTGGAGGTGGGGTCTGGCTTTCACTCAGCATATTGATTTTGAGATTCATTCATGATGTATGTATATCAATATTTCTTTCCTTTTTATTGTTGAGCATGAATCCATTGTATGTATATGCCACCATTTGTTTAGTCATTTACTTGTCAATGGATATGTGGGTTGTTCCCATTTGGGGCTATTAAATATAAAAATGCAATGA